GCCACGAATCACATGCCGTCCCCAGGTTTCCGTCCAGGCGGTAGAGTAGCAGATGCAACACACCAAACCCTGAGACCATCCCTCTGTCCTATTCTCTTCTCTATGGCCACTGTATGTGGTCACTGGGGGACACGATGGCATGGTAGTTTACGGCTTGGGTTTTGGAGTCTGACAATGCTGGGATTAAGATACTGCAACTCCTGAAATTTGCCAAGTCTCTAGCTGATCTCACAGTGGGTGGTGCAAGAGCACTGGGCTGGGACTCAGGCCACCAGAGCTCCAGTCTTGGTCCTATAGTTAATGTCTTATGTCACCCCTGGTAAGTCCCTTTCCCCCTCTGAGTCTCAGTTTCCCCAAATCTAAAATGAAGGGGCTGGACTCACCACCAACGTGCCCCTCTAGTAGTGACCATCCCAAGACTCTGTGCCCTGTAACAATTTCCCCTGCTGCCAGGGAGGATGAAGTTCTCACAGATTGCTCTGATGTGTTAGATGTTCATTAAGTACTTTCAAGGCTGACCAGCTGACACCAAGTGTGAGGTATCCCTTACTACCTGCTCAGAAGCCCTTATGTTGGCAGGAAGCTGATTTATTCCAAGGCCTTGAACCCTAACTTTCCCCTGCCTCTTGCCTGTTAAAAGATCCAGTGTAAGCTGCTTAAGTGAAGGGGGGAGACATATACTGCCTTCTGATGGGCTGCCCATCCAAGATTTCTGCCATGGGTACTTGAGGGCTGGAGGACCAGGTCAGGAGGGAGACCAGGGTTGAGTTCCTGAGTCCAGAGGACTTGAGGACACCCCAGTCAAAATGGGAGCAGTACACGTTGTTCCAAGGGCCTTACATCATTCTCACAGCAGCTGATACTTGATGAATGCTTCCTATGTGCCAGGCATGAATATAAGCACTTCATGTGCATTTCATTTCAGGATAGTCCTATGAATGAGGTACTATTATTGTCCCCACTTTATAGATGGGGAAACTGAGGCCCAGATAGGTTAAGAAACTTGCCCAAGGTCACGCAGCTAGTAAGTGGCAGAGCAGCACACACATGCAAGCCATCTGGCCTCAGCGTCCCTGCTCTTCAGCTAGTTTATTGAATACTCCCCCAGGGCCTAGCAGCAGGGATAACATCTGCCCCTTTTTCCAGGTGAGGACGCTGGGCCTCAGGGACTCAGCCACTTGCTTTATGGCATCTTGGCTGCCACTTTATGTTTAGCTCTCCCGACCCCCACTGCAATCTCGTATGCATTCCTCAAGCTGAAAACTCACCTCTGTGACTTAACAGCGGTAAGAACATCCCCAGTCAGGTGGCTGCTCTGCACGGGCACGACGCTAGGCCTTTGGCATGTCTCCTCTCTCATCCTCACCACACGCCCAGGAGGCCACACAGCTGCTAAGTGGCAACACAGAGGCTCCACCCAGGACCGTCACATCTAGATCCATACTCTACGCTCTTTGTGTCACCCAGCTGGACACTAACTGCCCCATTTGGCTCCCTCTCAGAGGAGGGGAAAGAGGCAGATATCTGCCTTGGCCTGAGCCACCGGCGAGGAACAGGCTGTGTCCTCTTTGCTGCCGGCCCCTAGAGTTTTGGGAGCATATTCTGACAGGGCCTGCTGAGTCGGATGTGGGTGAACAGGAAGCTGCTTTGATAATGAAGTGCTTAGGACACAGAAACTGGCCTGAGAGACGTCTCACCCAGAGGTCTTGTCCTCAAAGAAAGAATAGATTTGGGGAGGGGCAAGTGGGCAGTTGGGGGGGCAGATTCCGTTTGGTGAAACACTGCCCAGGGAGACCAGACTTAGGCATCTGACTGCCCTTGCTGCCACTCATGTAAATCTCACCAAGCGAGGCACCAGCGTGAACTCACCACCCTCCCTGCGTGCAGCCCTGCCAGCCTGCAGGCCAGGGCCGGGCTGCTGGAGCCCATGTCCAAACCACGTGTGGGACCGCTCAGGGTCTCCCTGTGCATCCGACTCAGCCAGGCACAATAGGATGGGAACTGTCTGCCGCCTGACTGCTCCGGAAGTGTCCCTGCAGGCTGAGCCTACAGGAAGGTCATTGATGACAGCAGAGTCCAGGAACTGTGCAACCCAGCAGTCCATGTGAGTCCAGGAAAAGAAGTGGTGGTGTGACAGGATGCTTAATTCCGGCCAGTTGATCTTCTATCTTTGGGAATAGTCTAGCTTCAAAGCCCCTCATGCGTCCTCCCCAACTAGAGCTTCTCCCAGGCTCCTAGAATGCCGCTCGGCCCACATCCTTTGCATGTGTTCCCATAAGCCATACAAACAAGAAGTACTAAAGTCTGAATTTGAACCCAGGTCTGCCGGGCTCCAGAAACATGAACCTCCAGCCAGTGAGGACTTTCCATGTCATCACTTATAATCACCTCTACTTGTCCCTCTCTCTGAGAGCACCTAGACAGACCCCAGAGAGACTCCAGGGAAGGGTTACCAATGCATGTCTTGGTAGAGTTGGTGGAGCCTTCACTGTGCCATTTATCACTGCGTCCCCAGAAGTCAGCACCAGGCATTGGCACCCAATGAGCATTTGTGAAAGAGTAAATAAATCAAGACAAGCTCTACCTGCCCAGTGCATGCCCCCTATGCATCCTCCTTTCCCAGGAGCTGGCCACCCACTGTGGCTCATCTGCTGAGTGCAGAGGGGAGGCTCAGCCTCACTGCCAGGAGTGCTGCAGACACTGGGCAATAGGGTTCCCTTGGCCCTGCCACAGCTGCTCCTGGGAGACAGATAATCCAGGGAACCTCACAGCCCAGCATAGGCTCACTGAGGCCACTGCCAACCTCATTTATTACAGCAGAAATCTTAAGTCACTCATATATACCTGCCCCTTTCATATCCATGCATACTCTCACTTGTATCACCCCAGAAGTCCCAACACAAAGGATAAACAGGGGCCCAGAGAGACTAGGTGACTTGGACTTGGCCACACAGCTCAGGACAGAGTGAGGACTTGTGCCCAGGTCTTTTGACTCCAGGGCCAGGTTCTTTCCACCATCCCAGGTAGCCCACGCTCTACCAAGCTCAGTGATTGGAAGGGGACCAGAAGGTTGAGACTTAAATCCTAGTCCCTGAAGAATTTTACAAAACAGAACTTGGTTTAGCCCAGTCCCTCCCAGAAGTGTCTCCTGTGACAATCTGAGCAACAGTCATGCTCAGATCATGAAACAACGTGCGGTTTCAGAAATCAGCAGCCTCCCCTGCACCACCCCCACCTCCAACTCGGACCAGCAATTCCCTGAATATTTGCCAACTGTTTAGAGAGAAGGAGAGGGAAAGCTTTCTGGATCACATCCCTGTTTATACTAATAGCAAAAGCTCCAACAACTTTGATGAGATCTACACCAGCAATCTCTCCCCAGGGCTGATGTAGGATGTTTGGGGAAGGTCTGTGTTCTAGGCAGATAGGGCAGCCAGGACCCTAAAGGGAATCAACACATTTCACATCTGTGGTTAAAGAAACATCTCTCTTCCTCCCACTCGACTCAGGAATTCCTCTCTAGAAATCTATCCTGAGACAAAATTTTATGCACAAAGATGATAACTCCTGCTTTAGCTGCAACAGTGAAAAACTGAAAACCACCATTGTCCAACATTGGAGGGATGGTTAAATGAATGATGGCGCAGCCATACGATAAGTGAAACCATTAGAAACATTCTTTATGAAAGAAACTTTAGAGGACTTAGGGATGTAACATAAAGCCAAAATAAAAACAAAATAAAAGGAAAGGACATAAACTCATATATAACAGGGGAAAAAAAGCACACAGAAGAAAAGATTGAAAGGAAATGAGCCAAGATGTCAACAGAGGCTGTATATCCACATGGCAGAACAAGATTTTTTTTTTTTTGCCTAATTTATACTTTTTTTGATATTTTCCTTTTGCCCCCACATTCCTAGAATAGTCAGAAAAACAAATACATAAAGCTACCCAAATCCATATAGCCTCCCCCCATAAGGGCAGTGAATTGTCTGAACAGCCAGAAAGGTTATGGTGCAGACTGGTTAGGAGGAGGAAGGTCGATCCCTGTCACTTTTCCCATCACATGAAGACCCCCGACGGGGCCATACCCATGGGGCCAGCCCTTGTACATTTGCCTTTAAGATTTTCTTGGGAATTTCCAACTCAGACTTGGTTCTTGGCTTCTACCTTTAGGAGCCTGTATCTGTACGGGGTGAAGACTGGAGGTAAGGAACTTCCTCTCTCTAGACCTGCACAGCTCCCGTCTCTCAGGAAGGAGGAAGCCAGCCAGTCTCTAGCATCTTCTCATGTAAAGCCCTGCTGTACATGAGAGGGGAGCTGGCAGCTCGGGGATGTTATTTTTGGAATCTGATGCTGTGCCCACAAGAAGGTACCTTGTAGTCTCTCCAAAAAGCAGAGAGAGCTCCCAAGGCTCTGGGTTAGGAGAATCCTGTGCCCGGGAGAGGGCAGAGACAACAGCAAGAGAGGCTGTGGCTAGAACGCAGCAAGCTGCCAAGAAGCAGCCCCTGTGCTGCTACCCTAACACACGGCTCTTCCATTTGTCCACCCAGTAGCACGTGAGAGACAAACCCCACGACTCCAAGGGCAGCCCATGTACCCGCCTTATTAAGATATGTGCTCGGTTTCTCTCATAAACCACACTCTGGAGGAGCAGATTTAAGTTCAGCCTGCTGTGTCCTTCGAGTCCTCAAACCATCTCTGTGGAAACATAGCTCCATCCACACCATCCCTACTCACATTTCCAAGTTTCTGCCCTCTAAGGAACTAATGATAACTACATGCAAAGAGGTCTGTAAGGTTAGAAGCATATGGGTTTCCCCCAGTCTAGGAGGGCTCAGAAGCCTGAACAGCCCAGAGGGACCACAGACGTGGAAGCGCCCAGGTCTGGAGATATAGGGACACAAGTCAGAAGGTGAAAAGCCAGAAATAAGGTTCCGTTCAGCCACCAGGGGAGCAGTGGGGCTCCCTGACATCAAAGTGGTTTAAATCAACTCACCGAACATGTTACCCTCGTAGCCGTCCTTCGTTAGCGGACGGAGCTCGTTTTTCCCCATTGCATAACGCTTATAGCTCTGCCAGGCAAACTGCATCATCTGCAAGAAAAAGCAGAATACAGAGAACCTCAGTGGTCAATTTCCAACGGTGTGGACTGGCTGCCTGGCTCTGCCCTTTGCAACAGGATTTTAAACTCCATCGAAATAATAATCTTCCAAATTTTCTAAATTAAACAAGGACACTTTCTTTCACCGTAATTTTAATTGTACAATTATAACTGCTGGGAAAGGCATTCTCCTCGGCCAAATCCACGTGTCCAGAGTCTACCAGTGGATTTCCTAGAGCAGACACAAAAGCACTAACTAAATTCTAGCCATCTTTCAGTGCCAAAGTGAAAAGCCAACTCTTCTACGAAGCCCTCTCTGTTTTGCTCTGGCCTAAAGTGATGCTCTGATGGGAGGGAAACTAACTCTTGCTGAGTGAGTGCCTGTTACAATCTAGTAGAACAATCCCCTGAGCTAGGTATTGCTAACTCCACTTCATAGGTAAGGAGACAGGTCCTAGGCCTGAGGTCACTTGCCCAAGCTTACCCAGTTGAGTTGGTTGAGAGTGCTGGGGCTAAACCCACACCCTCTGACTCTGAAGCCTTAGGTCTGTCCCCTAAGCACTGATTTTGTTACCTAAAGTCACCGCATGAATCTCTTTGAATTACTCTGACCCCTCCAGCCATCCCAGGCTCCCAGCTGGTCACTGTTCTCTGTTGCTCTCCCGGCTCTGGGCCATAAGCTCCTGAAGGCCAGAAACTACACTTGCCTCGCCTCAGTTTCCCCTACAGCACCAGGCGCATGGCTTGGCATAGGTAGGCATCAGTAAGTGTCTGTGGACTCGTCACCCTGTGTGTGCATAGGTTTACTATGTAAAGGCAACTGTGTCAGTCCCTCAGGAGCATCACGCCAGCACCTCGTGGAGGCTGAAGGAGATGCAAAATGACAATCTGCCCCATCCCCGCCTGGCGTCCCCCAAGGCCTCCCTCACCTGCCTGTGCACGGCAGGCTGCAGGAGCCAGCAGAGCTCTGTGGTGACCAGTGGAGGAGCCAGAAAGCAGTGGAGACACCACTGAGGGCCAGGTGGGTGGGGAAGCAGCCTGGTGCACTGCGAGAACTCAGGCTTCCAGGCCAGAGACGCCTCAGTTCTAATCCCACCTCTGCCTCTATCTCTGTGACTTTGGCATGAAACTAAATGTCTCTGAGTCTGCCACAGTCCTGAAAGGTTTAAATGAAAGAACGTAGTGGAGATGTCCAGCTTCTTACTGGACACAACAAGTGACTGACAAACACTAGTTCTCTTCCCTTCCTGGCCTTCGAAATACCCATCTGGCTCTCCAAGCCTCATCCACCCCCACCCCCGTCCAGCCGACTAGTTCTCAGATATTTGCTTGCATCGGAATCACTGAGGGGCTTGTTAAAACAGGTTGTTGGGCTCCATCCCTAAGTTTCTGTTCCAGCAGGTCTGGGTGGGGCCCAAGAATTGGCCTAACAAGTTCCTGTGTGATGCTACTGGTCCACGGCCACACTAGAGGACCCCAGGTCTATTGTATTTGTTTATGTCTACTGCTCGCCTCCCCTCCAGACACCGTTCTGCATCCGTCTGCTTTCCCCTCCTATCTCCGGGCCTGTGTCTCCTGCCTCAGCACCTGTCTTTCTAGGACATCTCCACCTGATTCTCCATGCTCAGCTGTCCTGGGGCCTACGCTTAGAAGCTGCCCGTCTCTTCCAGGCACATCTGGACAATAATCACGGCTATATCCCAAACGTACAGACCAGGAAGGCAGACCTGACAGGTCTAGGCCAGGACTCTCCATGAAATGGCAGAATAACTGAGTACTACCCCCTACTTCACAGGTGATGAAACCGAGGCTCTGAGATGGAAAGTGGTGCGAACAGCACAGCAGCCAGGTGGGAATTCAGCTCATTCATCTCCCAGGGCAGCAAACCCCACCCCATGCTTGGCCTGACATGTGGCTTCCCATGTGACACACATGCAAATGTCATGGTAACACATGCCAAGTGCTTGGCATGGGCCTGGAGTCCTGGTTCCATTTCTCTGTTATTTTCTACTTATCTTGAATTGGCAATAACAGAAAATAATTGTTGGGTACGAGGGCTTGAAGGGGACTGGCCTCCTCCCTCGGTCTTTCTTATCTGGGGCTCCTTCTATTAAGTCAGTGTGAGGGGAGGGAGGGCAGGTGGCTGGGGGCGGGGGAGAGCAGCAGGCTGTTAAAACACAAATGACAGCAGAAAAGGAGCAGAGATTTGGAGGGGGCACACCCCACCCTGAAAACTCCCCCTGCCTAGAGAGAGAAGTGGGTGTTCAGGAGTAATTACGAGAATCACAGGCATCTATGTGTTATCAAAGAAGCTGTCACTGCAGGAATGTGGAGACGTTTGGAATGTGGCCCGTTCTCACAGTCAGCCACACCAACAGAGGGAACGAAGGCACAAACGGTTCCCGTGTCACTCGGGCCTGGATTTATAAGGCAATCAGAGCTGCCTCTACATGCAGCTCAAACACACACATGCCTCCCGACTCGGGTGACAGGGGGCTCAGCTTAGGTGCTGGATGAGCAGGGGGGATGGGACAGCCCCCCAGCCAGGTGGTCCTTACCTCTCTTCCTAACACACCCTAAGCAAGCACCAAGCAGGTGTCCTGTCCCATGTTCAGCTGCAGTCGTGGTGGGAATGCTTTCCAAGCCCCTACCCTCTTCCTGCAGGCCAACTGCTCATCTGCCTTCAGGTCCCAGCTGAAAGAGCACTTTCACAGGGAGCCCCCTTTCTCAACCAAGCCTAACATGGGCCCCTCACTCAGACTCCCACCCCTACATTTCTGATGCACCGTCCTATGGTAGCCACAGTCAAGTTTTGCACCTGCAGCCGTGGAGCCAGTCCCCTACCCTTTCACTGCTGCATGCCCCACAGTGCACCCGGGACTGGCATGTGGAAGGTGCTCATTAAGTATCTGCTGAATGACTGCAGAAACAAACAAGAAAATTGGCTCTGGAGCTTAACACATGGCTGGGAGACTCCGTGTGGACCACACACATCACAGGTAAGATGCGTAACAGGCAAACAGGTGAGAGAGCAGGGGCTGCCAAGCAATAGAAGTGCTCAGAGGGGGCGAGTGTGTATCTTAAGGTACCCTCCTGGGTACCCAAGGGTCCTGACGGGCAGGTAGCACTGTGAGGGGCACAAGAAAAGGATGACCACAGACAGGCTAATATTTTCACTCTGGAACTGGCGATATGTGCCGTGGGCAATATCTATACCTGACTGTAGAGAAGGACAGTCCCTGACTTCATGCTCAGGCAGTTCTAAGACCTCCAAGGTCACTGGGGCCACCTTCTACCCCATGGAAGTTCCTTAATAGAGGATTAAGTAGTCTCTCCTTGAAGATCCCAGTGATGGGTGCTCACCACCCGTCAATGGGCTGCCAGACAGCCCATTCAATTGTGGAATTTCACAAAGTCCTTCGTTAATCGGTTCAAATCTGTTTTCCCCTGCAGGCTACAGGGAACACAGTGCTTCCACACCACAGACCCTCAGCCACCGGGGCCAGCTGTTGGCCAACTGAACAGCCAGCTCCTTCAACAGTTCTCCTTGTGGCAAAGCTCTGAATCCCTGCACTGAACCATAAAACTACCCTCTGAAACTGTAGACCCAAGCAACATAACATCTTCCAGGTGCCCCAAGACTTCGTCACCCATGTGTTGTGGCTGGCTATTCTTTTGGTAATGAGCAGAGACCAAAGTACAAACTCACCCTGCTTACATCTGGACCAGATCCTGTAGGTTTAGACTTGCCATCGCCTCTTAAAACTTCCCTCTGTGGGACTCTGCCTACCATTCCCTGCTGTCAGGATCTTTCTGGAACCAGATCTTATTGTCTGATGTGTGTGCCTACTTTGGGTGATCTGCTGACTTGATGGGACGGCCATCTGCATCTCCCCCCAGATTTTGGACAGAATGTAAACCGATGGGTGAGGACGGAGCTGGGGAGACGCAGCGGAAGGCTCTCTCCTGGACCCAGCACTGTTCTTTGATGTCATCCGTGCAAGTGAGGAATCCACGAGGCAATCAGTACAACCCTTGTTTCTCCATTTTTGTACATGAAGATATTGTGAAAGGTAGGGCTGCAACATAAAAACACCTTGTCCTAATACAGCTAGTATAGAAAAATAAATTGCCTTTTTTTAAAAGGAAAATATGGGGTAAGACTGGCATGATTATTCTTAGAGAACCCATTTTGGCTAATATGGATCATCGTATTTTATTCTAAATGCTTGCAAATCACTAACTTAAAAAATCTATCAGTCCTACTTGAATGGCTATACTAAAAAAGGACAATAAAGTGTTGGCCAGGATGTGGATAAACTGGAACCCTCACAAATAGCTGTTGGGAATGAAAATGGCTCAGCCACTCCAGAAAGCAGTTGGATAAAAAAAGTTAAATATGGAGTTATGTATGACCCAGCAATTCCAATTCCAGGTATATATCTGCACAGAAGAGTTAACATGGCAGGTCTCAGACTTTTAGCCTCAGAACGGCCTGCTTATAAGGTTGGCCCTCCTCTGACATCTGGGAATTTGGTTTCCTCATCATTCTCTAATTGATAGGGTGGTTTACTGTACCTAGACTGTTTGTACAAACAATGTAGCTTAAGTTGAACAACGACTTTCCTTCTGGGAATCTGGAATTACAGACATGTTAGGCAGAGGGTTGTCTATGAAACCAGCCCTCAATAATAATCTTGAGCACTGAATCTCTACAGAGCTTCCTTGGTAGACAACACCTCACCTGTTGTCACAGTTTGATGCTGCAGGAATCAAGCATATCCTCTGTGACTTCACTGGGAGAGAACTCTTAGAAACATGCAGCTAGTTTCCTCTGGACTTCTCCCCCTGGGCTGTTTCCTTTGCTAATTTTGCATCCTTTTTCAGTAACAGACCAAAGCCGTGAGAAGGACACTGACTATGGACTACGTGCTGAGTCTTGTAAGTCCTCCTAATGAATCACTGAACCTAGGGATGGTCTTGCAGACTCCC